GAAGGCAACGATGTGACAAAATTTGCTTCCATGGCTAAGCTCAAGGCAGGTCGCCTGGCCCGTGAAGTGACTGATAGCTGTCTCCAGTTTTGGGGAGGAATGGGATTCACCAGCGAGGTTCTGGTGAGCAGGTTTTACAGGTAAGCGAGCGAGTGGTGAAAATAGGGTATGGCTTTACTGAAATTTGGCTGCCTAAATGTACCGCTAGAAGATCACCCACTTGAAAAGGACACCAGCTCCTAGCTGGTGTGAATGGTGGTGTTCCACTGAATGCGTGTCACTGACGTTCACTGTGGATGCAAGGACACCCACAGTCCCATTGCCTTGGGGGTGGTGCGTGTGAGTGTCAGGATGTAGGCTGACTATTCCTTTGCCAAATCTTGGCTTTGCATTACAACTGGGTAGTTTGAACTACCCACAGGTTAGCTTGAATATCAGGTGAAAGAAGTAAACTCCATGTTTTGCCAGACAATAGGACAAGGGAAAAAAAGGGGAAGCCTACCAAGAAGTGATTTTTTTTCTCTTTGCTCTTTGTTTGCTTGTACTCTTGATTACAAGAAGAGAACTAAAGCAAAACAGAAGCTTTCTTCCAAAACCAACAAAAATCAGCTTTATCTTTTTCCCCAAATATATGTGTGAAACTGGAGTTCACCATCAGGCTCCTGCAGTAGTCTTTTCTGATAGCAGTCTCCACCTGATCAGACACAACAGATGATACCCTGTGAGATGTACAAGAGATGTAGCCGCTTCCAGCAAGTTGTTAGGTCATTAAAAGGGTACAGAGGCCTTTTTGCAAATTAAAGTCCCTTCAAATTTTACCATATATCTACTTAGAGCAAAGTTCTCTCTAAGCAAACAGTTTTCTTGGCAGCTGTTAGGAAAATTCTGGCCCCGGTGTCTTATATTCTGTAGAAGGGCCAAAATGGAACTTGCATTTTCTTGCAGTAACAGATTTCAGTTCAGCCTTTATATATATAACACCTAATCTAAGGTTAGGAAGATTAGTTTAAAAAAAATCTGTACAAAGCTTCTTTCTTTTTAGTAGGCTGAGTTACTTTTTCTATTTTAATAGCATTTTACGAACAAGAATGCCATTGTTCTAAGTCAGAGAGATCCCCAACCTTTTTTGACTTGTGGATGCCTGAAATGTGCTGGTGAAGGTACAGACTGCTGAAGGGTGGTGGTTTTAAGCCAGCTGTCAAGATGACGGTTTGTCTTAGGGTTTTTTTTTTTTCACAGCCTCTTTATTAGCAGCTAATGGTCCCTGGTGGTGCAGATGTTAAGAGCTACTGCAGTAGGCACTCTGAGTAAAATGAATCCTTGCCTTGAAGCGCTTACCATCAATGTAGCAATGTGACCAGGTTAATGTGTATGTGCTTTTATACAGCTTTGATTTGTCTTTAGATTTCCTAGCCCAGTATGTTATTGCTAACTGTGGGCAAGGCTTTTCTGTGTGAATTCAAGAGTGCTTTCTAAGCATATCAGCAGAGTCATGTTTTTCCTGAGAAGAAATCCGGGGTATTTCCTATTGGTATAAACTGTGTCAGCTGGCTAAGAAACATATCTTTCTGCCTCTAAAACAAACACTGTTGTAAATGAGGCTAAAGGTGGTGTGATAACTATACTCTAAAATTTTCTGTGAATCAGTAAAATTCCATCATGGAGTAACCGTAAGCTCCAAGAGGGGAGGAGTATTATCTAAATAAATAATTACAGATTCAAGTCAGAATCCTGTTAATCTGTAACAATCAGCAAAGCAGCAACTTCGCTAAAGCCATGCTTTTTTTGCACGGCAGTCTGAGTAACCATTCGCGTCACTCTGACACTTGTCAAGTAGCAAGCAGCGTAACTGCACAGCATGACATCTAGTCACAATGTACAAAGAATGTTGTAGCATAATCCTTACCAAGTTTCCAAGGAAATGTTAGTCTTTGACACGTCGGCCGCTATTCCTCAAAGAGCACACAGCATAGTGCATGATCAGTGCATGAAGTCTTTGAATTTTAGTGATTAGTGTTGGTGGGGAGATAATTAATAGACCCAGCACAAAACTGCCAAATGACTTTATTCACATCTGTCATTTTAATCATTAGGCTTTTAAACTTTGTAAAACAACTGACTTTTCTGAAGTGCAGTATTCTCTAGAAGGGGTATGATAGCTGTTTCACTGTGTGGGTGCCTACACTGGGCTGATTATATGCATAAATGTCTCATTTTCAGTTGTAGCGATACTGAGAAGGAGAATGGGTTTAAAAAAAAGTTCTCAGCCCAAATATCAAAGAGTTTAACAGAAAAACACTAGCCAATATAAAAAACAGTAAGAGTGGACTTTCCAGACTTTACCCTCCTAGCAGGATTCTGGAGAGGGAGAGCACCAGACTGGAGTTGTGTTTTTATTTTTCTCTCCCCTGTATGAAATGCCTCAAGGATATCATGACTTAGGAAAAATCAATGCTTGAACAAACCCACAATCTATATGAAAACCCCAGGTCATAAGAGATCAGAGGGAGGAAAACTTTTCGTAGCAAGTATACTGCAATTTTTCAGGCTTCGTAACATGAGTTTTAAAAAATTTCAGGTAGTGATGTCTATATTTCAATAATAATGATGTACACTTCAGCTGTTATAGGAGGAACTTGTCTGGCCTCCTTAAAAAAGTTTGGACTTTTTAAAAAATTGTTTCTAAGTACTAAACACTGTGCCTAGCTGCCGCCAGTTCTGAGAAGCTTTACTCTTGTGGGGTGTGATGGGGAGAATGCTATCATTCCTTTACTTGCTGCACTGTGAAAGACTCAAGAAAGCAGTAGTGGAAAATACTCACTACTCATGTGAAATAGATAAAAGTGTAAACAGCATGGCAAACGCACATAGCTGCAGAAGAAAAACAGATTTATCTTTTTCCCTCAACTATCACCTAGGTATTGCGACATGAAGTTTTAGCTGTAATTCAGGATAGTTAAAAGTCAAACTTCTATATCATTTTAAGTGGAATTTTTTTGAATAAGTAATGCATTTCCTTCTTACTAATTTTTTTATATTTCTCATGTTTAAATGTCAGTTGAAATATTCAGTTTCATTCTTTATTTCATTTTAAATTTTCTTTCATTCTCTACAAAGCATGTCTAAAATAGAATGAGTCTAGACAATTCTGGGTTTTTTTTAATTGGTCTCTGTCGTTATCACAATTTATGGTTGTACCAAATGAAACAAAACTTATCAATTTCTGCTGACAAAACCAATTTGTGCTGAAGTCAGTAGCTAACTGTTGGGACAAGACTTGACAATGACTTCTCAGTCATCTGTGAAAACAAATCCGTAGTTTCAACCTTTTTCTGCAGAGGTTTTGAGACAGATGCCTGCCTACCACTTTGGTTGACTTTTACCAACTCTCAGTACCTTGAGAGGGAATTTAGGAGAGGAAGCACGTGACATCTAGCTCTAATATGGCAAATCACAGAGGGCAACTGTACAGTGATGACTTTAAAGTGGAGTTATGCTCAAGAGCAGGCCAGGGTGATGCCCACCACTACTCAGGTGTCCCTTCAAAATGCCCCTTAGGGCAAACGGGCTGTGCCAGCCTGGCCAGAGTCCTGCTGCGCTGGGTGGTACCAGCTCAGACTTCTCCCTCTGGATCAGTGTCTCCTTTTGATGCTGCTTAATTTGGACAGCCTGTAAGCAATCTAGCTGAGTTTGAAGATGGGAAAGGTCACAAAATACTGAACTTGAGGGTACATCAATATGTTTTGTGGAGAAAAATCTTGCCAGTACTACAAAATACTAATTGTGAGGAAAAAAAGTCAACATTTTGTAATCGAGTGCAACTTGTCCTGAAAGGAAGCAGCATGTAAATGGCCTCCTGGGAAGCAGTGATACTCAGAGCCACATAAACCTTGGGAAGGATTTACCAATGGCCTCCCAACCAGGAAAGCAGGGAGCAGCATCTCTGAGGGACCGCTTTCACAAAGCCAGGCTGCTAGGGAAAAACCAGAGCTGCAGTCACCAAAAGTCACTTTCTTCCCCATGTCTGACTGGCACTGATCACTGCCAGAAAAGGGAAGGAAAATGACTTAGTTTATTTTCTCAGGACTTTAAAGCTATGTGAAGACAGCTGCACTGAAGATAGACAGTGCAGCAGGCTCCTGTCAGGGCGTTTGTGAACAGAAAGCGCTTTTTAGATCCCAATGCTGTATGGCTTTCAGAGGGAAATGTAGCATAGAGTGGCTCCCTCAGCAGGCGGGGCTTCTCAGCTACAGGTAGTAAATGGTAGTGGGATGCACAACTGCAAACACCATCACATTTTATCAGCTTCAGGCTACAGACAGATTTTGTGTGCCATTAGCCATGGCCTTAGCGCCTATATAGCACATCACAAGGTCAAAAGCTTTCCTCATGCTGTGAGATAGGTACCTGTCCCTACTTCACAGCTAGCGAAATCACCTGCAAGGGAGAGCTCAGACTGGAGCAAAGACCAGCCCTAATTTTTAGGATAACTGGGACCAAAATGTTTACAGGCAGGGTGATGGAAACAGCTTGGCTTGTGCAAAATGAGGGGTGAATGGCGCTCTGGATGCAGAGGGGTCATCACTGGCCAAAAGAGGAACATTAAACTGAAGGACTATACCAGATTATGCTACTCAGGAACGCAGTCAGGCTGTAAATTAGAATAAGAGCAATTTTGTTACGTGACAGGCTTCAAATTAGGATAGTCCAAGATTAAAGGGAGCTTGGGGTGGGTTTTTTTTGCTAAAGCAGTGCTTGATACATTTCTGAAGGAAGTTACACGACATGGTACCTATGGAGATGAGAAACTTTGCTTGATGATGTGGGGGGTCCTTTTTGTCCCTTTTGCTACCTAACTGGAATTACTGATAACCTGGACTGAGTTTGGTGGGTAGGAAGGGTTCCTCACCCTCTCTCATAAATACATTTTTTTTTAACAAGCATTGAAGAAATGAGTATTTTTTTTTAATCCATCAAAAAAAAATTGCTTTTTAACATTTATATCTGTTGATTTGGTTGAGTAGACTAAGTCTTACCATCTACAACTGATGCATGGAATTTCTTGAATGAGAGGAAGCTCTTTGCAGGGAGTGTTTTGTAGGGCCAGAACACAATGGTTAGGATTTATCCTTTTCCTCAGGCAAACTCCCACTCTCCAAGGAAAAGAGCATTCAGCAAGTGGCTAGAGGTTCGGTCCCTCAAAATGATACCTTTACATAACTGTTCGGTGCATTGCAGGCCGGTTCCTCACCGTCCTTGGCCAGGGTGAAGCCATCACAGATCGGTGCTCACCTCCACAGGGCTGCAGTTAGCGCAGGAGGTGCTGCTCTGGCAGGGGGGCAGCAACAAGGTGACTGAGGGATCGGAAAGCAAAGTGTTGCTCTGCTAGAACAGCAGCATTCCAGGCATAGCCTACCTAAAGCGGTACAATCCTAATACTTTATATATATTATTTATACGCTGTGTTAATAATGCATTGTTGATACCATATAAACTATCAAACCATAAATGTACCATAAATAGCTGATATACAAGCTTACTTCGCTATCTTCCCCAGCTTCCTCATAGAGTTCTTGGCAGGATGCTTAGACCCATGGTTTTGGTTTCTCATGCTGAAAGCAAGGGTCTTTCCCAAAAGAGGGTGGTTGTATTAACATCATTACAGTCCTTCGTCATCTTGATCCTCTTAAACCTCATCTGTCCTGTCTCCCTGGGGGGAGAGACTGTTGTTAGTCACCTGCCTGTAGATTCTGTAGGAAATATTCCTTATCTCACCCACAGAGACAAAAAATATAACCACCAGCAATTTTGTAAAGATGCACACAAAAAAAAAAAAAAAGTGAAAGGTGGTTTGTTTTAAAAAAACATGTATGTATATGTGATAACCTGACATGTCTGTCACACACCACCAAAACCAGATGTCACCACTGCCTACTTCTGACTTGATATAAACAAGGCACATGTGTTCCTGCTTGCAAATGGAGGATTTTTATCAGCACCACAGAGGAGTTAAGAGGCTTACTTACTTAGTGTTGCTACAGTGCTGTGAAGATGCAAGAGGCTAAGCATTGGTGGGGGCTTTCTGCAGCTTGAAAAAGCAGACAGCACTGCAGCACAAAGAACAAGTAACCTACCATTGCTCCAGCTCTGTGGCCTTCAACAAGGCCCATAGGAAGGTGGGGAATCTTCAGGTTATTGAATTAGGTAGAGGTAGTTTAGCAGAACTGTTTCAGTGTTCTGGATTTTTTTTTCTAATTCTCCCCAGAGGAGAAAAGAAATTTGTGAAGAAAGTTGCTTAAGATTGCAATAGTTTGTAGTCTGGCTAGCACAGGGAACTTAGCCAATACTGTTCAGGATGACTCAGTGATATTAATGGCAGTTTTTAAAGGAGTGTGATCAGAAATATCAAATAGAAGGTAAATAAACTTGGAGCAGCCATTCATTTTTAAAGCAGAGAAGCTTCATATACTATATACTGCTATACTATACTACTGTGCAATACTAATAGTATGTTATAATGCTATACCATACTAATATATAATACTAATACAGATTATACCAGCTCTCACATAGCCATTAGGGAGACCAGGGTGCTTGTTGGTTAAAAACCTGAATGAAAACTGCACCTTCTCCATACAGTTCTCCAATATCTCATGTACTGATTGACTCTTTTTACCATGCAGTTAAGCAAAGTTAAGTGCTGCAACAGTTTTTTGCTGCTGGCCCTCCAAAAGCTCCCTTCCCTCCTAAAATTCAGCTGCAGGCTTAGGCACCCGCATTGCAGCCCATCTCACCAGGAGGAGGCAATGGATGAGGTGTTCTGCAGATAACTGGCGTTTGTACGTAATGTGTAGGTTGTCTGAGCAGGCGATCCAGCAGAAAACCCCGGGAAGAGCCTGGGATGCTTTATATGCCAGTCCAAAGTGATCAGACCTAAACAGAAATCTCTATGGAATTCAACTGCAGGAGGTCTGGCTGGGCTTAAGCAGGGGCAGTTGTATGCTAGGAGAGGTTTTAACTTACTTTGTGATAAAAATACAGTGTTATGCCAAGTTAAGGTTATTTTGGAAAGAATCTGAAAATTAGACATGCCAAATTCTATCTATCTTGAGCGTTTTGATTTTGACTTAGCAACATCCCTGTACACAAAAGGATATTTTACGGTGCTGACAACACATTTGTCTGCACCATGTATGTACTTCTGTAAACAAGAGGTTTCAATGTAATAAAAGCAGCTCCATAATAAATGTATAGAATCAATGCATATGTACAGTTCTGTACTTGTTCCATCAGTATAGCATGTAAATGTTTAGATCTACTCTTTATGTTTCTACAGGGACTTAAGACTAATGTCCATAGGAGGTGGTACAGATGAAACCATGCTTTCCATCATATGCAAATACATGGAAACACTGCCAAGCAAGTGATGCCATCTCCACTCTTCCTTGAAAATTAAGCAAGCAAGAGCATGGGTTGTACTGCACGCTGAAGGTAACAGCCAGTACATGTTGCAAGGGTAAAATAAGTAGAAAACGTAACAGTAATTTTGCCAATGAACTGCTTATCAGGGTCTTTGGCCATCATCATTCTACGTGCTCTCCAATATCAAAGTTATGTTGCTGTGAAGCAGTCTGAAAGCATGTGGCCTCCTTCAAATGTTTTTTCCTTTTTTTTCAGTGGGTTGCTTTTTGGGGGGGGGTCTAGCAATCCACACTAAGCACAGAAAAAAAATGTAGTCTTTAATCAAGGTATCTCTACATTTTAGAGCATCTAAGCCACCAATTAAGAAACATAACCTCCACATGGATACAGCTATGATTTCCCTAGTAGCCTAATCTAATTTCAGTGTAACTTTGCTTTCAAGATCAATAATAAGGCACAAATTATTCCCTTCCATATTCAAATACTGGAACATTGATTTTGCGCTCAATTATGAGTACCTTCCCTATCTTTCAATTTTAGCAAGTAATCATCAAAATGAGCTCTCTCATCTTTGCCAAGTTCACGCTTACTTGTACTACACTCTGTTACGGATGTTTGGTGGTGGGAGTGGGGGTTGATTTTTATTTGTAGAATTCTACAAACAACTGTTTAGTCGCATCTGAAGCTTTTAGAAGCCTGAACTTCTGCAGTGAAGTATCATGTTTTGTGTGTAATTATTAAAAAATATTTTTTAAACCAATGTTAATATGAAAATTGTCTTATTAATTACTTAAATGAGATGGTACAATTTGTATTATATGCCACAGGCACCTTAAACCATAAGTGTATACTAACTATTTTCAAAATTACTGTGATTTGTTAAACAAAGTGTCTCACTGCTATATATCTGCCATGACAAGCATAAATTCTTAATTTGATCTTCTTTAAATCTTACTCTTTACATTTACTTGCGTATCAGCCATACCTTCAAAACCAACATCAGCAACTCTTGCTAAAGCAGCCATTTCAGTCAGAAGAGACAACCTGCCTTATTGCAAAAAAAAAAAAAAAAGCTTCAGTGGACTTTTCCTTGTAACCAACTGGATGTGTTAAGCATTTCTTAAGAAATCTTCGTGCTACTACTGTCAGGTTAACAGTTTGATAGTTAAAAGATGGTATTTTCTTCCACCTGGAAATAATCTGTATGGTTGCTAGGTAGAGGTTAAGTTACATGAAACTGAGAAACACGATATATAAATATTGTGTAAAAATTATGTACAAGCTTTCAAAACCAAGAATAAACATACCTGCAGGATTCCCATGCAGCTGCTATTAACTGCAACTTCGTAGAAGTACAATTAAATGCTACTAGTATTTTTCTATCATATCCACTGCATAGAGTATTTTATTCTACAAGATCATACTACAGCATCCTGAAATCTTGCTATTTGTAAATTTTAAGGATTGTCAGAGTAATACTTTTCTACCATAAAATTATCAGTAAAGCAAGTGCAGACGCTGAGGAAAATTCTAAGGCTGCAATGCCTGGTTTCCACCAGTTGCCATTCCCCTTCCCAACTGAAATATTCTCAAAGCAGTTTCATTTTATCAGAAACTTCAGGTTAAAAGAGCCGAACGGAGTGGTGTTTTAGCACTTAATTAAAAAAGCCCTTGTGTGTTTTCTAATAAACACAGAGATGTAGAAAGCTGTTTGGAGGCTTCATAAATTCCTTGTGTTTAAGCTTTCTCCCCATTCCCTGCCTTACCTAGACAAGTACAAAAAAAAAAAAAAAAGCCAACCCTCCTTAAATGAAGACACAGAAAGACACAAGGCTTAAGATTCCCCACCCAATGAATTTCCCCTCACTCTTCTGCACCACCAAAGAATGGCGGGGGGCGGGGGAGGGCACGGAGGGAAGAAGACCAAGTTCCTATTCTGCATTAATTACCTTTTAATCTAGTTTGACACTGAAAATGAAAATCCTGTTGGTTTCATACATGATCTGAAGGACTGGTAAAAGATTTTTACCAATACATGCTCTGTCAAGTCTTAATGGACACCCTAGTGTATTTTTGAGAACACAGATAGATAGGAAATGTATCAGCCACCTAACTAGCTCCATCCACCCATTTTTCTACTTTAGATACTTAAAAACGTTTTCGATGTATTGGCATGGCAGATTGATCATTAAAAAAAAAAAAAATCATGTCTAGAAATTGTACAGATACCATGTTTAAGAGCCAGAAACATATTTCTAGAAGATGATCAACTATCAGGGGAGTATGGCTGTCAAACAGGTATGTCAGTAATTATCATCTCACTTGTTACATACCTTGCACTCCGCTGTCTTATTAAAATTATACAAGTGCATCAATCTTGGATGGCAAACTATATCCAGTTGACTAGCTTTGGGATGCTATATTTGTTTAACAAGTCTAGCAATTCTCATATCAAGATGACGCATTATCCTGGTGTTAGTAATTAGATGTTCTGTTATTTGTAGAAGTATTGTAGACCTTTTAACAGTCAAAGATTAAATTGGCTAGAAATATTTGAGCTTTAATTACTTTTACGCATTCTGTGTGTTTTATATGAGATAAGTGATTTACACGTCACGCTTCCGTTTTATATGAAATCTAATGTGACAGAAATGTAGCATACACCTCCATTTCTTATTTTAATAGTGCTCCCCACACAAGTATAGCCCCTTAAATGCAGCGCCATTTCAAAAAAATACATTGGTATTCTACAGTAGAAAAGAATGCATGTAAGCAACACTAGCTAGAATACTACAGAACATTTTATTTGTCAGTTTGTATTTAGTTATTAATGCTATACAGTATTTCTAGAAAAGTTTTTCAAAATTGTAGATACAATTTCAATATCTAGGAAACTTAATTTTTTGAATGTTAAACTCAGCAATGTAATAGCTTCAACTATTAGAAACCAATTGGTGAGCCAAAGCTAAGTCTTAAAGATAAAAAAAACCTTAATATGATAGCACCTCCGACAGGTGCATCATAATATACTTTAATATAAAATCCAAAATCTCTGACCTCATATTTCAGACATCATGTGGTGTAGATTTAGGGATCATCACAGACTGAAAAGTAAATAGACTAATGGTAAAAGTTCTAGTGATTCAATGGAATCATTAAGTTTTAGATACTTTAAATATAAAGAAAACATTTGTACTGTGTCCACCTTAGTTGATCCCAATGATCAAAGGCATTTGCTTGAAAGAGCAGACGTGTAAGCATGATTTATCACATTTAAATAAAAAAAATCCAGTTTAACTTCTCCCCAAAACACACAGTTTAAGCTACTTAAACACATATACTATCCGACCTATCCACAAAAATAATTTTTGGGGGTACCACTATTACATTTGTTGGCTTCAGGTCAGCCTTTTAAAAATCCACAGATAAAACCAATTTAGAAAGGTCAAAGTATTCTTCATGCTTTTGCAACCTAGAAATCACTATATGCCTGCAACTGGAGCTCTAATTTAGAGCACAGCCCAGCATAAAACGCAGAATGAAAGAGAAAGCCTTGTAATTCTGCAATGACTTCATACCCAAACAGCTGTTGTTTTCTGTATTTTTTAAAAATCAATTCTAAAAACAATTTTCCCCTATTAAAAAAAACAACCTACTATGCTAGCAGTTTCTGCATATTTACAAATAATCCCCCCAAAACAGGGGATGATGGGAAAAATTCTGATACATTAAGAAAACTATATATAACATTGCATTAATACATTGCATTAATAGTTAATGCAATTTACAACTATTTCACTGTGTTTTATCAACAGAATATGCAACTTCAGATCAATGTCTTCATTAATTAAGGCTGCTTTATAGTTGAAATTACACAATTTAAACTGAAGGTAACATGCATCACCTCAGTTTAATAATCCAGTATATTACAAAAAAAACAAACAATGCAAAGAGCATCATGTAGCATAATAGCTTTGTCTGGCTTCCTCTGGAGAGTGTTCTCAGTCTGCCCATAGTTGCACCTAGAAGTCCACCCGTAGAGTCAAAATCATTATCCTACATTTAAAAACAAACAAACAAACCAAAAAAAACCATGTTACTCAAAAAGAAAAAATATCCCTAATGCTTGCTAAGTGCAGTTTCTCCTGTTTTTTTCAAATTTTCCAGAACTAAAATCATTTCAGAGGCAGTTTCTGAAAATTAACCAGGAAAAACTTTCGCCCACTTATCCAGATGGATGCAATCAAAAACTTCCTTATTTTTTGCTTCCCTCTTCTATTCTTAAATACATTTAAATATAGAACTGCCTTTTTAATAACAGTATACATTTGCTAATTGAAAACAAATAGTTGCATCTTAAGTATGAAGACCTTGGTTGTGCTTTGGAAGTAATGCATTTGCACATCTATCTTTTTGAACAGAAATACTGCTGCTGGATTAGTCATATTTTACAGTCAAAAACAAGGTGTCAACATTTTAATGCAAATGTGCGTACTGAAAGAAGGAATGCTTTACATTACTTCTTAATCTTGCCCCATATTTAAAGAAAGTTAGTGACTAAACACTTACCATTTCTGATAACATTTTATTTTGGTTTTTAACTTCTGTTCCAATTTCAATGGAAAGCTGTTTAAAAAAAAAAAGTAGTAAATATGAATAATCAGTTATACATAGGAGAAACCAATGTAAAATATGTAACATGAGTAGCATTTCCCCAGGTAAAATGTGGAAACAGTACCTGGTATTCTTAAAAAACAAAATAACACGTGCAGTATTCTGTCAGTAACAGTTGGGAAGGTAAATATTTGTCATTTGACTAGATGTGTCTAGAGTCACAGAAGGTACTCAATGCTCCTCCTCCTGGCTTTCTCCTTGAACAGAGAATTCCTTGTGAGAATTATTGCATGGACTTTCAAAAATTCAAGATTTCATCAAGTCTAAGTAGCAATTATCCATTTCCCGGAACAACTGTTAAAACTACTGGCACACACCACAGAGGACCATGAGCACCCTTTTTGACTGTGTTGCTGGAGTTGACACCTGTAAGCTGCTAACACTGTACTATAAACAGGAATTTGTGTTGTGAACTTGTCTATTCCTTCCCTGCTTCATGTCATGAAACACCAAGGGTGCAGCAGGTCAAGGCGGCAAGTTGAGTATGCAAGTGAGAGTCAGTCCAGAGGTAGTAACCAGGGTCAGCAACTGCCTGGAGATCACCCAGCACATCCACAGCAATGAGACAGGTCCCAGGTCAAGCCAGAAAGTCAAGTGTGCAGGTTAGCGTTGGGATCAGGGAGGTACGAGACCAGGCGCAGACAAAGCTGCAACACAGCTGCAATGCAGCAAAGGCAGGGGCCACCAGGAGAATCTCAGCTTAAGAGCAGCTCGCCAGTGAAACGGAAGAACCCCCACTGAGGCTTCTTAGCAGCTCTTCCTCCATAGCAGTTCTCATCAGCACACCAGCCTTGAACAACCGGCTCAGCTCCTAGCAGGGAGGGAAAATGTGCTCCAGGCCCCAATGCTTTGGATTAGCCAAAACCCGTATGGGTTTTGTGACCCAACCTAAATATCATTATTTCTTACTGCTGCATTTCACCACAATCTACCAAGTCAAGAGTGAAACATCAGGCTTCTAGGAAGATTATCTGAAG